ATTACACGAAGTTGTGTTATTTTCTTCGACCCAGTTAAATTTTTCGACTTCACTGCCCTGGTTGAAAGAAACAGTATTTCTTTTATGTTTTTCTTTATTATGTCCTCCTCAGGTAACATAACAACTGTTCCCTCCCGATTTGGTCATTTAGAAAAATCTCTTTTATTTTTCATTTCACGACACAAACAGGGCGGCACTTAAGGCTTTTTGTTTTCATTTTTGTAATTTTGATTAGTTTAAGTTAATTTAAGTTTTACTTGTATAAGAATTGACAAACAACCTCCGTCAACATTCGTATTTTTTGATGCGCACTCGAAAAACAATTCTGATTACATCTGTCACTTTAGGCATTCCAGGAGCAGCCAGCCCTCTCAACTGTTATACACGTCAGCAGCAGCAGTAGCAACAGGTAAGTTAATTAAGAATTTAATACGATATTGAATACAATGTATAAAAATAGGACAACACATTACAGTTTTACGAATTCGGCATATAAATAGCCCGGTAAGACATTAAAGCAGAAGTTTAGTTACAGAGCAATGCTTAAAGTGGCGAGTTTTGAATTACAGAAAAAATAATGAAATCCAATTCATTTGCAATAAATATTCAATTTCAGATATTGGTAATAATCTGCACATCATTAGCCTTGGCCGATTTAATTTTGACACCCAGCAGCTTCCCATCATCCGCATACCATGTTGTCAGATTCGATGATAAATTATTGGAGGATTTCTTATTGGATTTAATAGGAGAAAATTATACAAGCTTACTGCCAGTGATACTACCGGTGAATTTAACTGTTCCTGGAATCTCTACTCTAACTGATGTTTGGATATCGCCTCTAATAAATGAACCGCCACCTAGATTCCCATCTTTGGTGCTTCGGATTTTTCGACAATTCCTGGGCACGCAGAAACCCTTCCTCGCAATGTATGAAACGTTTTTGGCTGACAAGAAACCATTTGTTCAATTTTGGAAACCAATTGGCAATTTAATGTTTAATTTTGGCATTAACACGAATTTCCAAACATCCGGTCAGATTGGACTGGCCAGGATTGTTATTTATAAAATATATTTATGAGAGAAATTTAATAAAAGTTTAGAAAAATATATATATATAAAAAAAAAACAAAAAAAATTGAATAATTCTTTTTCAATCATAGAGTGTGGAAAATCAAGAATTTCTCGACTATATAATTTGATATTAATTTTCAAACACCATGCAGCCATATGAAAACGACCTTTAAAAATAGTGTTCAAAATGTTTTCCAGGCAATATAAATAAAACTAAGTTTAAAAAAAATCTCATGGAATTTTTTTAATGCAATGTGTATATGGCAGATTTTTATAAAAATATTTTTCAGGGACTTCTCGAAAATATATAGGGGATTATTGTAAAAGTATTTCTTAAGGATCCCCACACTGTGGTACTCGTTGATTTCTAAGATTGTTTTTACAGGTCTTTCTTTAAGGAACCGTTGTGTAACTACATATAACTATAGTTCTACACTTTAGGTTTTAAGTGAGCAAAAAAGTCTTTCCAAGAAATAATTTGGTGTGCCTACAATTTCAACGAGCAGAAAATTTCGAAAACTCTTCGAAAAATATTTGTTAACAAATATTCATTAAAAGGTCCATGTCTCGAAGCTTTTTAAAAAGTCCACGTCTCGAAGCCCTTCAAAAAACATTCATTGAAAAGTCCCCGTCTTGAAGCTCTTCATAAAATATTCTTTAAAAAGTCCACGTCTCGAAGCTCTTCAAAAAACATTCTTTGAAAAGTCCCCGTCTTGAAGCTCTTCAAAAAACATTCTTTGAAAAGTCCCCGTCTTGAAGCTCTTCAAAAAATATTCTTTAAAAAGTCCAGGTCTCGAAGCTCTTCAAAAAATATTTTTTAAAAAGTTCACTTCTTGAAGCTCTTTAAAAAATATTTTTTAAAAAGTCCACGTCTTGAAGCTTTTCAAAATATATTATTTAAAAGGCCTACGTCTCAAAGCTCTTCAAAAAATAGTCTTTTAAAAGTCCACGTCTCGAAGCTCTTCAAAAAATAGTCTTTAAAAAGTCCACGTCTCGAAGCTCTTCAAAAAATATTCTTTGAAAAGTCCACTTCTCAAAGCTTTTCAAAAAATATTATTTAAAAGGTCGACGTCTCGAAGCTCTTCAAAAATATTCTTTAAATGGTCCACGTCTCGAAGCTCTTCAACAAATATTCCTTAAAAAGTCCACATCTCAAATCTCTTCAAAAAATATTCTTTGAAAAGCCCACGTCCCGAAACTCTTCAACAAATATTCTTTAAAAAGTCCACGTTTTGAAATCTCTTCAAAAAAATATTCTTTAAAAAATCCAAGTGGCGAAGTCTTTTCAAAAAATATTCTTTAAAAGTCCACATCTCGAAGCTCTTCAAAAAATTATTTTAAAAGTCCACTGAAGCTCTTCAAAAAATATTCTTTAAAAAGTCTACATCTCGAAGCTCTTCAAAAAATATTCTTTAAAACTCCACGCCTCGAAGCTTTTCAAAAAATATTCTTCAAAAAGTCCAGGTCTTGAAGTTCTTCAAAAAGTATTCTTTAAAAAGTCCACGTTTCGAAGCCCTTCAACAAATATTCTTTAAAAAGTCCACGTCTCGTAACCCTTCAACAAATATTCCTTAAAAAGTCCACGTCACGATGCTCTTCAAAAAATAGTCTTTAAAAAGTCCACGTCTCGTAGCTCTTCAAAAAATAGTCTTTAAAAAGTCCACGTCTCGAAGCACTTTTCGGAGGCTCTTCAAAATATATTCTTTAAAAAATGCTCGTCTCTAAGGTTCTTCAAAAAATATCATTTAAAACTCCACGTCTCTAAGGTTCTTCAAAAAATATTTGTTAAAAAATCCACGTTTTGAAATTAAAAATATTCTTTAAATAAGTAAGCAAAGGCTATAGTCGTGCGGGGCCGACTATGTTATACCCTACAACACTACAATATGTTAGAAGCCCCCTTATGTCCAAATCCATATTGGAAGATTTCGCTTTTAGGATTTTGACTAGGGACATTTGCCAAAAATTTACGCGCTCCGTCGGGCTGTTAGTTTTTGTGGTCCATTTTACAGCTAAATATAATCCAATGGTCATCCAAAATGCTAGAATTCTTCCCTGTCCTTAACTCTCTTCACAGGTATGTCGATTGGCTTCAATTGTGTGATCGGGAAAACATTTCTGTTTTTGGTTAATTTGAACCCCTAAATATTTTGCAATCATCTCCAAAAGCAAGAAGCCCCTCTGTATCTCCAAATTTAGACTCATCTATACGATTTGCTTGTCTACGATATTTGGCTATATTTGTCAACGAAATCAGCATAAAAAACCAGAAGTTCGCCTTTTGTGTATTTCGGATATCGCCTGTAAGTAATGCTGGTATTTTTTCACACAAAATTAGTGGTCCATTCTACCCCCTGTTCTAAACTCTAACTTCATGCTAGATTTCGTGTCCTTTGGTTTTTCTTTGTGACCTTTATAACGGCTGCAAAATCAGGAATTTTTTAAGTTGTTGGTCCATTTCAACCCCTAATATATTGCGGACATCTTTGAAAACAATAGGCCTAGCCCTTCTGAGCCCAACCCTGCCATTGTGAAAATTTTCGTGAAGATCGGACGATATTTGCAATTTGTATATAATAACCCTAACCTGTGTTGTAAGATGAAAAAATATTACAAAATATTATAAGTCAAATTGAAAAAATCGCATGCGATAAAAAATATGAAAAAATAAAAAAATGTCACAAAATACTACAAAATCTATATTAACATCATTATTGGCATATTTTTCTGCGTTTTTTTAGATTTCATACTTCTATGTCAAGAGGGTATTCTGAATTGACAAAATTTGTCAAAATCGGTCCAGCCATTCTTGAGATATAAGAATTCTAACTAATATCCCCTTCCTTTGTATATATACATTTTATATATTTCGCTATATATAACCCATATGTTTACTATCGGCATCTACGTAACGGTCAGAATTGACCTGTTCGTCTATTTGTGATTTCGCCGGGATTAAAAATATTCGCGGCTTAATGAAAAATTGGACTTTTATTTAACACAAATGTTATGGTCTTGTTTACCCACTAAATATTTCCCGATGATCATCAAAATTGGAAGGCTTCTGCCCAGTTCTGAGCTCTAGCCCCATGCTAAGTTCCGCGTCGATTGGTCCATAATTGCGACCTGTAGAGCAACTGCAAAATCAGGAAATTTTTCAGTTTTTGGTCCATTTCGACCCCTAAATATTGTGCGATCATCTCCAAAAGAAATAGGGTTCTATTCTGACCTTATCCCCACCTCCATCCTTAATTTCGGGCCATAATTGCGACCTGTAGAGTGATTACAAATTAACGGACGGACGGACATACATAGCTAGATCGACTCAGCTCGGCGAGATAGGAAGATCCATATATACTTTCCTATGTGGGAAATCAATATTTCGAGGTGTTACATAATTTTTGGCCCAATCAAACTTATAATACCCCCAACACAAAGTGTTGTAGGGTATAAAAATTAAAACAAATATAAAATATAAATTCCTCAAGAACACATACAATAACAAAATAATTTTGAATTATTATATCAAATTAATGCTTTTTTTCTTTTAAGCCAAGCGTAAGTGTTTCTATAAAAATAATATTTTCTATAAAAATCCTGCATTAAATGCCCTATAACTTCCTTGATGACAAGAAATTTCATATTCCCTGATTAATTCAAAGTTGTCCGAATCGACATCCCCTCTGTATAACACTGTACCTATTATAACCCCAGAAATTTGTTTTTCTTCTCCATCATGAATATTCGTATAACAGTTTTACCAAAGAATATATAAAACTGTAGCATATCTTAAGGCTTGCTCTGAAAAGCCACATCTAAATAAAACATTTAAATCTTCTATTTACCTTATTTTCAACAATTTTATTTTTTGTTTTTTTTTTTTTATTTTCAACAGTTAATAAAAATTTACTAAATCAATTCCTGAGTATCCATTGTCATTAAGTGGGGTGTGGGGGGAATGTATTTTTAAATCGTGGGTCTGGTGACAGTCTCAACAATTTACTTCTTCAACAACAAGGGGGCGGTGTATGGAGCAGCAACATAAGGAGCAGCAGCAGCATAAGTGGTGTAAGGAGCAGCTACATAGGGGGAGGCAACATAAGGTGCAGCATAGGGAGCAGCTACATAGGGAGAAGCCACATAGGGAGCAGCAAAGTTACCATGGAATTCTTGCGAGACGACGGCACTGGCGGCAACGGGAGCAGCAGCAACAACGGGAGCACTGTAGGCCAAAGGAGCTACAACACCGGGTTTGGCAGCGGCACAGGCGAAGACGGCCATCAAGACAATTGCGACGAATTTGAACATTTTTGTTTTGGTTGTTGTTTGTCAAAGATGCGAACAAATTGAACTGTGATAATTGCCGGTCTCCAATGCCCATTATATAGTCAGTGTCGGTGTCTTCGTCTGCCGCAATAAAACAAGTGATTTTGGCAAAAGACCTACAAATCGAAAGAACCTTGGGGATGAGCGTTGACTAAACTATAAAATAACAATAATTAATGGAAGGCAAATTATTTTAGTTGAGCACAACAAAATAAAGAAACATTTCCTTGAGAAAAGCCCAACAACAAAAATGGATAAGCATAAGCCATTCAACCAAAATAAAGAAGCTTTTACACACTAAAGCTGTTGGCTTTGTTGGTTCTTTTAGTACACAATTGGGTATGGTTAACTTGATCGTAATTAAATATGCCAAACACGTAATTTCTTTAATATAGAGGGGAGAGACGTGCCATATCGACAGTGGAACCTCAGCACAGACACAAGATAGTTAAATGGAATATGTCTTAGTCTAACGAAGATTTTTGTTGGTAATACTTGTCCGCCGAAAAATTTGTGAATAATCACCAATCAATAGTGAATTATAACTGAAAATTCTGCTGCCTATATTAAATATAAGATTCGGAGAACCATAAATAAAGACATCTTTCTTATCTCTTTTCATTTACTCCGCCAGCTACTCATTATTATCTCATTCTATAACTGCAAATCTTCCGGTTCTATTGCAACTATTTCCTGTGTCTATGATATCCTGAACTACATTGACATATATAAATAGATTTATGGGATGTCTATTATCTATTATTTCAAGACGTCATTAAAATATTAAGTTTATATCCACCACGACTTGCAGATGTCTTTTGTCTTATGTACAAATGAAAGAAATGAAAGTGTATTTATTTCTCAGAAAAAAAATTGCATTCATTGATGTGTTTATGTCTGATTGAATAAAAAAAACAAAGAAGTAAAAAAGCTGTAAGTTCGGAAGGGTCTAGCTTTGAATACCCTCCAATATTTGGAACAAATGTGGAAATTAAAAAAAAAAAAAATAAAATCCAATAAAAATTCTATTAAAATTTAAAAAACACCGAATATAGAAAGTCGCTGTTATATTGGGGTCTACAGGGTGTGATAAAAAAACTGCAACAATGTCAGACGCCATAATTTTTAATTTTTTTAAATTTTATTGAATAAAATCACGTCGGAAATAGCATAAAATTTTAGAATAAGTTTAGATTTGTTAGAATTGGTCACTTTTGGCACGAATTATGGCCTTCAAACGGCCAATGAAACCGTCACATGCTACCCGAATGTTGCTCTGCGGTATTTTGGCCCATTCCCAGCGAAGCGCCTGCTTGAGGTGATCGACACTTTGGTATTTTTTAGTACCAACCCTGCTTTCCAAAATACTCCAGACACAATAGTGCAACGGATTGGTAACCGGAGATTTTGGTAGTCATTGTACGTTGGAAATGAAGTGAGGAACCTCATTTTGTAACCATTCTTGGGTGTAACCGTGCTGAGTGCGATGGTGCTGTGTCCTGTTGGAATGTCCAAGGTGAGAGGCCAAAATGTTTGCGTGTCCAAGGCTTTAATACAACCTTCAGAATATTTTCGCAATCATTTTCGGCATTTATTATGATTCCACGGTCGATTAATACGAACGGAGAGCAAGCATCGGTTGTAATGGCGGCCCACACCATCTCCGTGGCCGGCGATTGAGTTCTGGTTGCCAACCGAAGGTGCACATTTTCAGCTGACCTCTTTGGCAAGTAAACACGATCATTTTGTTTGTTTACAAACTGCTGGGCAACGTATGTTCACTCATCGGAGAAAACCAAATTCGGCAGTTCGACACTTTCGGCCAAGAGAAGCAACTTTTTAGCTCTTTTGAGTCTATTTTCTTTCTATTGTGGTGTAAGTTTTTGCACTTTTTGGAATTTCAATGGCTTTACCACGAGCTCATTTTTCAATATTTGCCGAATGGAATATTGCGATATGTTCAGCTCACAAGCCATTACTGCTGATGTTGCTGTTTTCTTCCCATCGTCCATCACTTCTTTGAAGTCTTTGAAGGTATGAGACACAAAAGATTTATTTACATTTAAATTCTTGAGTGCTCTAACGATAGCCACTTGTGGTTTTCCAGCCAAATATAAAGAAATCACACAATCACGCTTGAATTCCATCACGAATAACTTTTTTTCTTTTTTTTTGGAAAATTCGCACCATTGGTTGCAGTTTTTTTACTCTCACCCTGCATATACTTTGTGGGGTTTAAAAAGTCTCATTTACCCTCCATACTATGATGGAGAGTATGAAAAAACAAGTTAGAAAAGACTATAGTCGTGTGGACCGACCCTGTTAAACCCCATAACACTACAATATGTGAAAGGCCCTCTTATCGAATTGAAATTATTGAAATGGAATTTGAAAGATTTCCCTTTTGATATCATCACTCTGCCCAGATGTTATCCTTTTCTTTTTGATCGGTATCTTGGCGATATCTTGGCTATCAGCATCACAGAATAGTCAGAAGTGACATTTATGTGTGTTTGTGGATTCGCCGAGATTAAGAATATTCTTCGTTTTATTCGAAATTTTGGTATTTTTTTGAAGAAAAGGTTTATTTTACCAGCTAAATAATGCCCCATGACCATCCAAATTGATAGGTTTCTGTCCTGCCCTTAACTCAAACTCCATGCAAAATTCATCGATTGGTCTATAATTGTGGCCTATGCAGCAACAGCAAAATCAAGATTTTTTTCCGTTTTTGGTCCATTTCAATAAGCCCAATTCCATTTTCAATTTCATGAGGATCAGGCCATAATTGCGATCTCTAGCTTAATTACAAATTAACATGGAAAGACGAAGGGAAGGACATACATAGCTAGATCGACTCAGCTCGGCGAGATAGGAAGATCCATACATACTTTCCTATGTAGGAAACCAATATTTCGAGGTTCTACATAATTTTTGGCGCAATCAAACTTGTAATACCCCCAACACATAGTATAATAAAATTATAGAATGTCGATTATCTATTACTCTAGGACGTCATTTAAACATTAATTTTATATTCACCACAAATTGCATATGTCTTTTGTCTCATACACAGATAAAAGAAATGAAAGTTTCTTCATTTTCTCAGCAAAAAAATAAAGTATTTTTGCATTCATTGATGTGTTTGCGTCTGATTGAAAATTTTTGTTTATTCCTTTACTCTTGAAAATATGAGTAATACTCTTTCACTTCACTTTATAATTTTTTATTTTTATATTAAAAGAAATGTAAGTCAAAATTCTAAGAAATACAGGAACATGTTACATACACTCGTATGGTATATATATTGAATGTAGAATTGTGTAAAAAAACAACCATCCATATTCGCTTTTGTGTTGGTCAGTTATCAATGAAATGTGGAAGTGCTGCTATCGAATAATGTTTCATGTCTCCGCACAATTAATATTTGGTTGGTTTTATTGACAAAGTTCAGTTTCAAGAGAACACTGGGAGAAATAAAAGTTTAAAATGGTTTAAATATTCTGTAGATATAACACCTTTTTAAAAAGGATATTTTCACACTGGTTCTATGGCTATAAACGACCTTTGTATGTATTCTATGAAATTCTTTACAAGAAAGACTTACAGATATTTTGTATATGAAGTTGTCAGACTGGGTCTCTACACCAAGGCGATGGATAGGAGTGGCTGGTAACTATCCTGTTTACTTACCAAAAGCGCCATTTTTGTCATCAGAGATTTAAAAAATTTTGATGAGGTTCAATAGTACAGCTAAGGTAGTAAAAACAAGTAAAGAAGAAGCTAAGTTCTTTTTGTACCCTTCGTCATTTGGAAGAAACTTGAAAAATTTCAAAAAATCCGAGGACGTGGTCCTGAATAAGTAAGCTGTAGTAACGGTTCAAAACTTTATATAAGAAATTTGAAACTATTCCGGCGAATAATGTCGCAAATATAAAAAAATCTAAAGCGAATATCTGGGGGTACCGTTATATGGGCGCTATACTAAAACGTGGACCTCTTCTAGGGGGTAAAGTACTCATAAAGAACTCCTGGTGTAGAATTTCAGTCACTTCCATTGAAAAATGTGGCTTAAATCGTCACCGAATATCGTTACCGAATATCAGGGTGTACCGTTATATGGGGGATATACGATATCTTGGACCTATATAGACAATTTCTTTCCAGGGGATAAATACAATTCTCGTTCAGGAGTAAAGTACTCATAAAGAACTCCTTGTGTGTATTTTAAGACAATTCCATTGAAACATTTGGTTGAAATCATAAAAATACCGAATATCGGGGTGTACCCTTATATGAGGGGTATACGATATCGTGAACCTATATAGACAATTCTTTTCTAGTGAATAAAGTACTTACAAGAAACTCCTTGTGTGGATTTCAGACAATTCCGTTGAAAATGTGGCTAAAATCATCAAAATACCGAATATCGGTACCGTTATATGGAATATCGTGGACAATTCTCTTTCGTGGGATATAGTACTCTTAAGGCATCATTGAAAAATGTGGCTTAAACCATTAATATACCGAATATCGGGGGGTACCGTTACATCGGTGCTATACCGTGGACCGATATAGCTCATCTTCGAACTGATTATAACAGACAGACTGACAGGGCTAAATCTTCTTAGAACTTTACGCTGATCAAGAATATATATACTCTGTTGGGTCTAAAATTATTATTTCGATGAATTAAAAATGGAATGCTGAACTTATATAGGATACTAGCTGAACCCGGAGCGCTTCGCTATTTTATTTACGAATATATGTTGGTTAAAAAAAAAAAACAAATTTAAAAATTAAAAAAAAAATATTGCAATGTAGCAACATACTTACCCGTAATAAGCGTATTTCAAATTAACTGTTGTGTTGTTTTTTAGTGTTATTTAGTGTTAGCCTAAGGCGTTGTGGGTCAATGTTTCTTATTAAAATCATATCCCAATCTGAGTCAATTTAAATATAATTTTAAAAATTTTACTTTTACACCAAATTCCGCTACAACTTTCATATTTCATTGAAATTGGCCGAGAATATATATATGGGAGCTATATCCAAATCATAACTAATTTCCAAATAATTTATCACATTTATTATTGTAACCAATTTCCGCCACACATTCTGAATTTCATTGGAATCGGTCATATATATCGTGTTTGGTACATAACATATTTGAAGTCGGCAGAAATTTATGATAGCTATACCCAAACCTCAACCGATTTCAATATAATTTGGCAATTTTTTTCTGGTGCCAGATTTCGTCTCTTTCACTTTGGGTGCATCAAATATGTGAAATCGGCCGAGAATATATATGGGAGCTATAATAAAATCTGAGCGAATTTGAATATAATTCGTCAAATTTATTTTTGTACCAAATTTAGTCACTCATGGCGAATTTCATTGGAATCGGAAATACGTATCGTGTTTTGTGCATCAAATATGTGAAATCGGCGGAAAATATATATGGGAGCTATATCCAAATATGAACCGATTTAAATATAATTTGACTAATTTATTTTCTAATCAAAATCCCGTCACACATTCCCAATTTCATTGGAATCGAACATACATATCGTGTTTGGTGCATCAAATAAACGAAATCGGTTGAAGATATATATGAGAGCTATATCTAAATCTGAACCGATTTTAATATAATTTGATAAATTTATTTTCGAATCAAATCCCGTTAAACATTCCACATTTCATTGGAATCGAACATTCATATCGTGTTTGAGGCATCAAATGATCGAAATCGGTCGAAAATATATATGGAAGCTATATCCAAATCTGAACCGATTTCAATATTATTTGGGAAATCAATTTTTTAGATAAAATCCATCACATGTTTCAAATTTCATTGAAATTTGGGATACATAGCGTGTTTGGTGCATCAAATGCTAAAAATCGGCCGAAAATATGTATGCGAGCTATATCCAAATCTGAACCGATTTCAATATAAAAATTATCTGTAATCGTTCAATAGATATGTGCATACAAAATCTAAATTTTTAAGAGGTACCTCCGATTATGATGCTATATCTCCACTTCCAAGTGGAATTTCAAAAATGTATATAGCCTATGTTACTTTCAGGCGATGTTGCAGTATATATGTAAATTTTCAGGAAAATCTGTTCAGCGGTTTTCGAGTCCATAAATTACAAACAAACAAACATACAAACATTATCCTCTTTTATAGATATATAGATAGATAATATAGTAGTAGAATAATAAAATATAATAATTCTTAAGTTCGAACCGACCGATCACAGCAGACCCCTGAAAAACCTCAAGACTTGGTTAATACATGTAAAAAGGCTTCCTGACGTGGAAGGAGCTTAGAAAAAATTCCGAATATCATGTGTTGGTCTGCTGTGATCGGTTCGAACTTAAGAATTATTATCCGAAACCTATATATACCGAATGGTGCTTTGCGGTATATTGGTCCATTCCTGGCGAAGCGCTTGAAAAAAATGTTTGTTCTGCAGCTTCATAATTTATTATTAATTTTTATGTGTAACCAGATGCTTTTATCGCTTCTTTTGTAAATAATTCCAAATTCAGGGCTACCCCAGAGAACTACTTACGATAAAAAGAACAGACTTGTCGGTGGATTTTATCATTGCATGACTGACTGGCTGTTTTTTTTTTTTTTTTTTTTATTTTCCTTTAAAAAATAAATATCAAAACAAAAAGAAATATAAAGAAATTATATTTATTGCAGAATTTATCAGCTGCGAGCACACACACACATTGAAACAAAAGAAAAAACAATAGATAAAGTCCTAAGAATATGCTCTTGCAAAAAATAAATATGAAACTACTTCCTTGTGCATTGGAGATGGAATTAATTCAAATTCTTGTTTTAGTTGCAAAAGAAAAACGGACGGATTCAAACTTGTTGCGGTTAAAATTATAATGCGTTTAAGGCGAGCAGTTGCATTGCTGCTCTTGGTGTTGCCATCCTTTTGCCTGGCCGAGGATGTGGTGTTGAAGTGTGACGAGTACAATGATAAAATCGGTGGCATGGAAAAGTTCTGTACCGTGTCGGGGTTTCAGGTTACGCATTCGCAAAATATCAAAATAACACCATATTATCGGGCGAATCAAACCAATTTTATGAAATTCTACAATTCGGTGCTGTTGGATATTCCGGCCAAGCTGTTCGATGTGTTTAGCAGTTTGAAGAACTTGGATGTTTCGCATACCGAAATTGGGGATTTGTCGCGTAATACCTTCACCTCGGCCAGCATGCTGAACACCCTGAATTTAAGTTATAATTTAATAGAGAAAATTAACACATCGGTGTTTGTGGGGGCCCATAATTTGATGCGTCTTGATCTGAGCCACAATAGGATACATACCCTGGGGTCGTTGGCTTTTCGGGGGCTGGGAAATATGAATAAGGTGATATTGTCGCATAATGCCTTGACCTCAATACCCACGGATCTATTTTTGGATAATGCCTATATGGATGCTGTGTATTTGGATTACAACCAATTGGAAGAGCTAAAGGCAGAGGTGTTCCATGGCCTGCGCCACATCAGAGAATTAAATGTGGCCCATAACCGCCTGAAGCAGTTCGATCCTCAGATATTTCAAAATTCCTATGGACCTGAAATGTTGATATTGGCCTTCAATGAATTGACGGATTTCCAGTTGACGAACAAAACAATTACAAAACGTTTGGATTTGGATTCAAATCGTTTGAGTCGATTGTCAGTTAATGGCACCTCCTATATATCGGCCAACAACAATTCCATAACTCAGGTGGAGGTATGGAATGGCCAGGATGTCAATACGTTGCTTTTGAAACAGAACCAGCTAAAGGATATCAACAGCATTGTTTCGCTAACCCAACTAATCGAACTGGATATCTCCTATAATCCGGTGGGAAATCCCAATATTTCCACTTTTCAAAATCTGAAACATCTCACCATGCTCAACTTGAGAGCGACGGGAATTTCAAAACTTGCCTTTGGTATGTTTGCCAAACTCGGTAATTTAGAATCACTGGACTTGGCCTACAACAATTTGACGGAATTGAATTTGGATATGTTTGTACCGGCCAATGACAAGTTGCGTTCATTTTTTGTGGATGCCAATAACTTGACGGAAATCCATGGAAAATACAGCTTTGCCAAGGCCTTTCCTTCCCTTATGGAATTGGGCATATCCAGGAATCGCTTCAATTGTAGCTACTTGCATTGGCTGTTGATTAAGCCCCAATTGGGTGATTTTACAAAGCTGCACATTGAACACGATGACAGTCCCCAAGAACAGACCCACATACGTGATGTCACCTGCCTGTCGAACAAAAACGAGGAACTACTCAAAGCCGAACACGACTTGGCCGATTCCAAACATTTTCAAAATTCCATGAAACAATCCCTGGATGCGATGAGTGAACATGCCAAACAAATGCAAACATATCTATTGGTACTCTCCGCGATTCTCTCACTGCTGGTAATTTTGGTTGGGTCGGTGTGTATCCTGGGTGGCATCCACTATTGGCGTGTCCAGCGGGCCAAATATTTTCAACGTCGTGGTGGTGTCATTGTCTTTAATTCCAATGCCACCGTTAATACCCATGTGGAACAATAATAGTAGCCATATTCGTGCGGCTCTCTCTCTTCAAGGATAACATAACTTAACAAGGATAACACATCGGATAATCGTCGAGAATAATTTAAATATATATGTAATTTAATTAATAATTGCCGTACATCACTAATTGGATTAAAACGTGAAATTGGAGTGTAATTATTTTGCATGCGAAATGGTAAATGCGCAGTTTTACTTTGCATTATTAAATTATTTGTACATATGTGTGTGATTGTGTGTTTGTTGTGCAGTGACAATTAAAAAATAATTTCAAGGAATAAGGAATGTGGGCAGTAGGAGTGTGGGCGAAAAAATATCTATTTTTTCAAGAATTTTTATGTAAAAATAACGGGAACAGATAAATCGATAAGACCGTGCAATGTTAAGGTCGTTTAACTCTAATCGGAATATAGGAATGGAATCCGACAAAATATATTTTCTGAGTTTAGCCGGGCCGAATTTTTAATACCCAGAAAACCGAATATCGGGAGGTACCGTTATATGGAGACTTTACGAAGACGTGGACCTGCATATAAAAATTTGGGTCATAGGCTACAATACCCCTTACGAACTTCAAATACGAAATTCGAAATAATTCCAGTAAATAATCACGCTAAAATCATGAAAATACAGAATATTGGGAGGTACCGTTACATGGAGGTTATACGAAGATCTGAACCTGCATACAAAAATTTTTGCAATAGGCTGCTACACGAATACTTGGACCTGCGTACAAAAATTTTTGTCTTAGGCTGTATTACCCACTGCAAACTTCAAATACGAAATTCCAAATAATTCCGGTAAATAATGTCGTTAAAATCATGAAAATACCGAATATCGGGATTTACCGTTATATGGAGGCGATAAGAAAACGTGGACCGAAATGGCCTGTTTACGAACTTAACCTGCTTACTAGTAAACTATGCATAGAATGCTGGAGGGTATAAAAATTCCTCCGGATACCCAAAAATTTCTGATAAAATAAGTTTTTCACACTGCCTAGATATTACCCTTCTCATTTTGACATTTCCTCAATATTTACGCACTCCGTCGAGATGTTAGTTTTTGTGGTCCATTCTACAGCTAAACATAATCCAATGGTCAATAAAAATGTTAGAATTTTCCCTGTCCTTAACTCTATTCTCACTCCTAAATGTTTTGCGGTCATCTCCAAAATTAAGAGGCCCCCTGTGTATCTCCAAATTTAGACTCACCTATATGATTTGCTTGTCTGCAATATTTGGCTATATTCGTCAACGAAATCAGCATAAAAAGCTAGAAGTTCGTCTTTTGTGTATTTTGGATTTCGCCTGCAAGTTATTTTCAGCGTTTCGCTAAAATGGAAATTTTTGGTATTTTTCACACAAAAGTAGAGGTCTATTCTACTCGCTGTCCTGAAATCTAACTTCATGTGAGATTTCGTGGCCTTTGGTTTCTCTTTGTGACGAATGTAAAATCAGGATCATTTTTATTTGTTGGTCCTTTTCAACCCCTAAATATATTACGGACATCTTTTAAAATAATAGGCCTAGCCCTTCTGAGCCTAATATGAATTTTTTCCTCAGGATCGGACCATAATTGCAATTGAAAAAATATTAAAAAAAAGTATGTAAACTTCAATATTATAAGTCAAATTGAAAAAAGCGCATGGGGTAAAAAATATGAAAAAATAAAAAAATGTCACAAAATACTACAAAATCTATATTAACATCATTATTGACTCCTTTTTATGCGATTTTTTAGATTTTATACATTTATGCCAAGAGGTCATTCTGAATTTGTCGAAATCGGTCCAGCCATTCTTGAGATATAAGCATTCTAGCTAACATCCCTTTCCTTTGTACATACACATTGTATATATTTCGGTATATATATATATATATATATATATATATATATATATATATATATATATATATATATATATATATATATATATATATATATATATATATATATCCGATATATTTACTATCGGCATCTACGTAACGGTAAGAATTGACCTTTCCGTCTTTTTGTGATTTCGCATGGATTAAATATATTCGAGGTTTAATGGAAAATTTGACTTTTATTTAACCAAATGTTATGGTCTATTTCACCCACTAAATATTACCCGATGACCATCTTAATTGGAAGGCTTCTGCCCTGCCCTAAGCTCTACCCCCATGCTAACTTCCGCGTCGATCGGTCTATAACTGAGACCTGTAGGGCAACTGCAAAATCAGGAAATAGTGTTGTAGGGTATAAAAAGCTACGGTTCATTTTTATACCCCCCACCATAGTGTGGAGGGTATATTAAGTTGGTCATTCCGTTTGTAACACCTCGAAATACACATTTTAGACCCCACAATGTATATATATTCTTGATCAGCATAAAATTCTATGTCGATTTAGCGATGTCCGTCCGTCTGTGGAAATCACTCTAGCTTCCGAACGAATTGAATTGATAAAATTTTGCTCTAATGTATGTTATATCTGCAGGACCTTTGGTATTGAAAATGGGCCATGTAGGTTCACGAATTGGTATAGCACCCATATAACGGTACCTCACGATATTCGTTGTTTTGATGATTGTAGCGACATTATTCACCGGAATGGTTTGAAATTTGGTATTTGAAGTCCATAATGAATAGTACAGCCGAAGACAGAAAATTGTATGCGCAGGTCCACGTCTTCGTATAGCTCCCATATAACAGTACTTCCCGATATTCGGTATTTTAATGATTTTATGGACATTTTTCACCAGAATTATTTCAAATTTAGTATTAAAAATTCGTGATGAATACTACAGCCTATGACAGAAAATTGTCTGTGCAGGTCCACGTCTTTGTATAGCCCCCATATAATGATACCTCCCAATATTAGGTATTTTGATGATTTTAGGGAATTTATTCGCCGGAATTGTTTCAAATTTGGTATTTATAGTTCGTAATGGATTCTACAGCCAAAGACAGAAAATTGTCTGTGCAAATCCACCTCTTTGTAAAGCCCGCATATAACGGTATCTCCCTATATTCGGTATTTTAATGATTTTAGGGACATTTTTCACCAGAATTGTTTCAAATTTGATATTTGAAATTCGTAATGGATACTACAGCCTACGACAGAATTTGTCTGTACAGGTCCACGTCTTTGTATAGCCCCCATATAACAATAGCCCACCCCCCCCCCCCCCCCCCCCGATATTCGGTATTTTGATTTTATCGACATTATAACCGATTTTTTTAAGTTTCGTATTTGAATATTGTAATGGCTTATGACAAATGTTACCTACGAAGGTTCATGTCGTTGTATAGACCCTATTATAATAGCTACATTCGGTATTTTTAAGATTTTAACAGAATTTTTAACGGATTTTTTTGTTTTTGAGAATTTCCAAATTTGTTCCAAATGGTGGAGGGTATTCAAAGTTCGGTCAGGCCGAACTTACATCTTATTTACTTGTTTTTATTTAAAACCACGATTCTTAGCCTGGAAAAAATTATTTTCAATTTTTTTTACTTATTTAAAATTAACAATTTTTGGCCTCGAAAATTGTTTTGAAAATCCACGATCCTTCAAATTTTTCCTATTCAAAATTCTAGACCTTGAAACATATTTCCATTAAAATCTAATTCCTTGAAATATTTCCGTTAAAATCTAATTCCTTGAAAAACAAAAAATTGAAAAATCAACTGATGATGGATAGGCTTACTGAGAAAATTAATAAGATTAGGCTCCTAGTACATCAACTATCAAAATTGCTCTCTCTTCTCGTTGTTGTAGCTCAAAAAGTGATTCTCAATTTCAGATTTCCTTAGAAAGTCCACAAGAAATACCACTGGTGTTTATGGGAACTTGTAATTGTTTAGACGTTTAGATAGTCTCAATACAAATTTAATTATTATCTCATTATTTCATCGGGCACAAATACCATTAGATTTCCAATTATCACCATGTTTTTCATAATTCAGCGTTTCTAATCATTTTCTGGCAAAAAAAGAATTGTATATTATTTGGTTTATTTCGTTGCGTTCAGTTATTGGCGTTAATTTGCTTCATAACGGATTCATTAAAATTTTGCATGTTTTATTTAGTAATAATAATTTTTGTTTCGTATTCAGCAGTATAATCCTTTATAATTTACTAGCTGAACCCGGTGCGCTTCGCTACCCCTTTTGATTTTATATGCATTCAAAATTTTATTTACGAATATATGTTGGATAAAGAAAAATAAATTTAAAAATTAAAAAAAAATATTGCACTAATTTAATGCGTTAATAAACAAAATCATTACAAAAGCAGTAACATGACATGCATACACGAAGGGTTTGTCCTTTGGATTTATTTATTTCATAGCAAATACCAAGCGTGCAGTAAACTGCAATCTTTTGAAGTTGAGTGGCATTTCTATTGCAATTAGTGAATTCGAGATAGCAACATACTTCGCCGTAATAAGCGTATTTCTAATAAATTGTTGTGTTGTTTTTTAGTGTTAGCCTAAGGCGTTGTGGGTCAATGGTTCTTATTAAAATCATATCCCAATCTGATCCGATTTAAATATAATTTTAAAAAAATTACTTTTACACCAAACTCCGCCACACCTTTCATAATTCATTGAAATTGGTGCGTCAAATATGTGAAATCGGCCGAGAATATATATATGGGAGCTATATCCAAATCTTAACTAATTTCCAATTAATTTATCACATTTATTATTATAACCAAATTCCACCACACATTCTGAATTTCATTGGAATCGGTCATATATATCGTGTTTGGTGCATAATATGTATGAAATCGGCCGAAATATATATGTTAGCTATATCCAAACCCCAACTGATTTCAATATAATTTGGCAATTTTTGCTGGTGCCAGATTTTGTCCCTCTCGCTTTGGGTGCATCAAATATGTGAAATCGGCTGAGTATATATTTGGGAGCTATAATCACATCTGAGCGTATTTGAATATAATTTGTCAAATTTATTTTTGTACCAAATTTAGCCACTCATAATCAAAATCCCGTTACATATTCCAAATTTCTTTGGAATCGAACATACATATCGTGTATGGTGCATAAAATACATGAAATCGGTCGAAAATATATATGAGAGCTATATCCAAATCTGAACCGATTTTAATATAATTTGACAAATGTATATTTGTTTTAATTTCCGCTACACATTCCAAATTTCATTGAAATT